CCTCCGTTCTTCTTCATTTTTCTCTCGGTTTCTCTGTTTACTCTGTTTCCGGCGTCCGCGGGAACAAGTACAAGCCAAGCGAAATGACGACGGTCGCGCGTGTACCGAGAGACACATTATACCCGGCGTGTATTTTTATCAACGGAAGTGCGTAGTTGTACGTGCGCGCATTCCTGCACACAGCCTGACTCTGGAAAACTACGTTCAAGGAGAAGCGTCGCGTGTACTACACTATTATTGTTCCAATACTACACGCATTTTTCGATTCATTCGTTTTGCTCATTAATATCTCATAATTTTACGTTTCGCTCTATATATACCTCAGTATATGTATAACTACGAAGTCCTGTCGTCAGAGACACAGTTTATGTCAAAACTTGACTAAAGTGTAAAATTGGCAACTACGTAAATTATAGAAGTTCTGTCATTTATTATGCATGTCTGGAAACCTAGATTTAGAATGTCTTACGTCGTAGATTTCTCTGGGTTGTACTAAAGGGAGTATAAGGTAAAATTAGAGGCGACGAAAAAAAGGAAAGCAAGTAACTGTGTAAAGTTTGATCGATACTTCAGCACCCTTCGCAGTTGGCTAGCGATTTGACTGGTTAATGCGAGGAAAGCTTAAAACATGCGTCAGTGAAACATCAACTATCTAGATAAGCAGATAACGGATGGTCATGTGTACACGTGGACCATTCTCTGTGTCCGTGCGTTCGTCCGTACACAGATGGCTGAGCGTGTGACCGATAGACTAACGACGGGGCAGATATGTTTCGCGAAGCCATGACGGCTGCGCGTTCACTGCATAATCGGATCAGAAACCATGCAATCGTATCTACTTTTCTACTTACGCTTTAGTTGGGGTGCTTCGCGTACATGCGATCACAGTACAGCTGCGACGCGCGATTAGGTGAACTTTTTTCAAACGCTCATCGACATAAACACCTCGCCATTTCTGTCCTTGTCCATTTAAACAGTCATCTTTGACGCTATTACCATCAAACTTTTAACATCCGTACAAACGGTTTGAACTTACTGATTCTTATGGTACATCAATTATTCTGTTCAATATTTTACTGACACTATAAAAAGATTCGAATAATGTGGATACTCATACGTACGTTAGATTAGTTGTAAAATATACTGAAATAGGAGCATACGACGTATTAAAGTGATCCAAGAGTTTATGATTAAGATTTTTTATTGGAAGTGTTTCGAGGCACGAGATCCGCATTGACTGTTGGCCAATAAAACGGTAGCAAGGAGAACATAAATTTAGAAGATCAGACATAGTTAATCGCGAAACGGAGTCGCACGACGGCACGAAGTTCAATGATACACGATCCCCCCCGGTAATAATTCCTCTCATTTTTCCGCGTTAATTCTCATCAGCCGACGTTTTCTACGGATTCGCGCTTTAAACAGCGCGATGCGAGATACCGCGAAACGTGGGAAACCTCTTGCCTGCTTTATTACGACGCTTTTGTAGTCACGCTCATGGCACAACACGGCGGACTAGAAATTTTCTTCGAATAGTTCGCGCTAAGACCGTACCTCTCCGCGCATATAATGCATGTATATCAGCAGCAGCAGGTCCGCGAGTCCGATCTAGCTATAATTCTCTAGCCATCTGTGTGCGAGGAGCTAGATCACGCTGGAATCCAGAGCGTCCGCTTTCTAAAAACCCGTAAGTAATGCAAGAGCAGGGAAGATCGATTAAGGCGGCAGTTTTTCATCACCGCGGTGCGCGGCGTGGCTCGCGATCGGAGCCCGCTCGATAATTGATTAATGGAGATAAAGGAGAACGTTATGGGACACAATGAAGGTGAACCGGGAGGGAAATAAAACCGCGCTAGTTGCGGAATGCGTGTATGGCATAATATAAGCAATTACTTGGTTCTTCGTTTTTAGATCGCGGTTACCGATAACCAGGGCTTCCGAGAGCAGGTTGATGCGTTTTTAATGAGAATAAAATGGTAGCGAGATAGAGTAATAATTAATTGTTCGGTTATCTCGAAATTCAAATTGAAGTTTCACCGTTTTCAACGGGGGCATCGTCTTTAATGGATTGAATACGTCGTTAATTACACACGGTCTCTTTTTCCGATACGCGTTGAACTTTAACTTGAAATTCTCATCTCTTTTATTTATAAGGATATTAATATTCGGCGGGAATAACGGAAACCGGGGATACAACCTAGCTACCGGGTCCGATTCGCTTTTAGAAAATTGTCGATAACTCTGCGAAAATTTAATTCAAACTTTCGCTAGTTTCATTCCAACTTTGCCCGTTTGCCTCGTTTCAATCGTGAGTAAGAAGAGCTCGACGATGAAAATGGAAGTCTTTTTAATTTTTAATCGCGACCGCCGTACCTAGCCGTTTAAGCGCGAGTTGAGAAGTGAAGCATGTACGACAATAAAACAGACAGTAAATGGCGTTGCATTACCGGTTGGTAAACTCGCCTTTAATCATGCGTCCCAGCGTCGTCACGACGCGCTGGAAACGTACTTTTTCCGTGGTTGTTGACGGAATGCGTGCGCGAAATATAATTCCCCGCTCGCAAACCGGCACGTCGCTCGGGTATTATTACGTGTCCGGCATCGACGTGTCTACTTACGTTCGATTTAATTTCGACATTACGTCTCCCACTGAGATCGAGGTAATATCTGTAAGATAGTATTACTTATTCACGATATCCTTATCAGAACATTACAAACTATGTTCAAAGTTGCGGTTTACAGCGAAAACAGAACAATTACTTGTTCGTCAGTGTCTCGTGCACGTCCACAACGCACGAGCATCCATACAATTAATTATTGAAGCGTTTTAATCGCGTTAGGTCTAATTAGCGGGGAGAGGGAGTCCGTCTCAAAGTTGTTAATTAAATTGGTTAATGCGATAAAGGAGTCCATATTGGAGTTCTCGGTGTTCCCTTTCTCTTCCTGCCTTTTTCGTTACTCCCGCTCGTGTAGACGGCGGCGGGTTCGCGTTCTTTGTGTTCATCATCCGCGCACCTACGAATCACAGATACTTTCCGCGACGATTATTTCAATTATACTGGGTAACCTCAGATTCACGATCCTTCCGTCTACATAATCTACATCGTTCACAGTTTCTAACGCTTCAGTTTAGCAATAACTTATGCGATCGAAACGATTGATTATGGACAGACGAAATCGAATTGAAAGATCGAATATAGTAAGCAGATTCAGCTGATTTGTACGCAAAACGATTAACACATTTATGCATTTTAAATAGACATTTATTTTATCATTTAGCCCTTTTAGTATGCGCTCACTTTTAAATGTTTTGTGCATTTTTGTACGTGACTGGCATTTTTCATATCCACTATCTAATAATAAGCATTTATAATATTACGCTAATGAATTAATCATTGTTAACATTTTTTATCATTGTTAACATATGTTATTACAAATTAAAACTGATGATAATCAATTTTTGGGGCTTAATTGATGTTGCAATTAATAATTAAAATTTAATCATCAATAGCAGTATTCATTAAATTAGTTATCCTATCGACAAATATGTTTGCTAAATATTTAGCATAATATGGTTGTTAATGTATCTTTGTGTATTGAAATTAAAAGTAAAACATGAATCAGCATTCTTAAAACAATTTGAATAAATATTACTTACAAGAAACTTTACACAGCACTTTCAGCTTTATTTTATAAGATCTCTGTGAAACTTTGTCCTCTTCAAAATCGTTTATTATGAGTATGTGTACAGAATTGTATCTAAAATACAGCCGTTTTATTCGTTAAAGGGGAAATGGTCATTGGCACGTAAGCTCTGATATTTACGAAGGCTCCATCGTGATTCATTCTCCGCTATGTTCGGGTGTTTTTGAATCACGTTAGTATTCTGGTCGTAAATTGAACGATTTATAATACGTATCATTGTTTTTACTAGATTAACGTATCGTTCTTGATATTTTTTATCTCGAGCGCCTACTTCCGTTATTCTTATGTCGCGCTCTATAATATATGAAAATTACTCCAGTTTCTTAAAATACAGACGATCTAAAAATATTCTAAAGCGAATACAGATTTTCGGAACGGATCGCATAGCAATCCGGTTATTGCTGTCACGCGACGTCCAGACGATCTAAGAGCAAAACGAAAAAGAAAATTCGAACCAATCTACGGCTTCGGGTTTCAACCGGTCGATATTACAAAACCGGGAATGATTATAACCGCTCTGGTAAGTCCATACCGGCGAACTGACAATAATGAATATACCCGTCCCGCGCTTTTAGCACTACTACCGCCATTTCGAAATGGTATGTAATCGAATCGAACAACCGTGCAAGAATAGGCATTTCAACGCCCATTTCTCTAACATTCTTCCGCGCAGACGACTTCTATATGCGTAGGTTGCGTTGCTCGGAAATAAACGGTGGTGGTGTTGGTACGGAGAGCCCCAGTAATCATTAATTATAATTAATACCGATGCCGTTAATGGCAGTCAACACCGTATATTGCCGGGACATGCATAGATCGGCGAGAACGCCTCTAACGTGTAAGTGCTTCCTATATGTATGCCTGCGTCCATATAAATTCCCATCGTCCACGATCATCCCTATTGCAAGGCCGCGTTCATACGGTTGTGGTCAATTTATAGGTCAGAGCGTTGAAAGAAAACGTCGGGGAAAAGAGAAGGATGTCGTTATGCTAGAGCTTATAGTCCGCGGAGTTGAAAGCTGCGCGGAAGATACCAACGACATGGATTAAACGTTGCTCGTTATACGTGTCGTGGTTGTAAATCGTCGTTGTAAATCAATTGACCAGGTCTGGCCGGACCGAACGGACTGATAAATAGGATTAACTGATTTACATGAACGAGATTCGTCCGGCCGGCCGACATCGATCATAATCAACGCACGCTCCGCATAGCGCAATCTAAAATTTAATTTTCGTTATTCGAATTCGGCGTGCCTAATTTTTTTTTTCTTTGGTTTTTTATTCGTTCGCTACAGGCCAACCCATGTCAACACCCGATAGTGATCCTGAGGGACGTTGCTTCGTCGGACATGGAATCGCTGCTGCGCTTCATGTACCACGGCGAGGTTCACGTGGGCCAGGAGCAGCTGGCCGCGTTTCTGAAGACTGCACAAATGCTTCAGGTTCGAGGATTAGCCGATGTGAATAGCGGTGCAGCTACCGCGAAAATCCCACCCCCCTCCTCGTCCGGTGGCAACAACGGTAGTGCACCGGTAATTATTAATTCTCTTCATCGAAACATCGACATTTCTCAAATTTATTTGTTTAAGTGAAATATTGGAATTGTTTTATGTCTGACAGACGACACCGCGTAACCCTTGGCAAGACAATGGCAGGGGTGACTTGAACGAGAGTGGTTTGAGTCCGCCACCAGAGAAGAGACCTAGAAGCTACAGTCCACCACTGGGTAACCACGTAGAACAAAAGTCGGACCTCCAAGAGTCGCTTTTGGGACAGGCACTGGAAGGGGGACCCACGATACACACGACGCCCACCAACAATGTACAGGTAAAAATTGAATTTTTATTTGATTGATAGCCTTATGGAGAACTTATGAGGATTGAATAAAGAAAAGAGGATTATTGTTGATTACAGGCACAATCCACTGGCGAGGATTCAAACTCCATGTCGGACAACGAGGAAGAGATGTCGAACAATGACAGTATTCTAAATTCCGTGAAGACCGAGCCGAGCGACATTCTCAGTGATTCTATAGAGCATCATCGTAACTCGTTTCCTACTGCGCTTTTGGGAATACCAGGTACTGTATATGTATTTTATTTCGAGACTTATAATATGGCGTTCCTCTACGATGGCAAATGAATGAGTGCAATACCTTTGATTTGATAAAATAAATTTTCAACTAAAAAAATCCGTTTATAAATATTAATGTCATTATTTATAATTATTTTTCGAAACAAATTTTACACATATTTGGACTTTGACATGAAATAACCACATTACTTTTTCATCATATATAATTACTATAAAGCAATATTATGTATTAATAGACTGTGTTTGGATTTAATATAAGTATGGAACATTCATGTAATCATGATAATTGATAATTGCAGGGCTGATACCAGGACCATCCGGGATCCATGCGGCGAATCAGGATCCGAATTACGGTAAGTGGTTAAAATTACTGATCCGATTTTACGGTTTATTACGATTTCATGGCCCAAACTATAGTATCCTCTCGTCAATTCCCTCAAGACTCTGGTCTCTCGTTGTTGCGTTGAATGCATGGAACTCTCGTACCTCTCACAACCCTGCATCCTCTTGTCCAACTTTACTCCCTTTCGATGAAATAAAGAAAGTAAAGTAAAAAAAAATGTGAAAACATGACGAGCAACAATGTGTCATGGAGCTGCGTCTCCGACGGCTCTTCGAGTTCGTTTACCGCAAATCGAAATTAATTTTCCTTCGCTAAATGGTCTGCTTTCGCTAGAAACAGAATCGTTAGGGTTGCTCTGCAATGTTAAGCTCGATTCTTTTCAAATTCCTTTAACGACCATTCATCCAAGCTTGTCGAGGCTAAACGAGAAGTAATTGGTCGATCGACGAGGTACGAATTCAATCGACTGTTAAAATCATTTATGGAAAAAAATAGGGTGGAGGTACGGAAATGGCAACGAGGAAGAATGTAGTACACACGTTATCACGTTCAACAGACAAATTGAAAAAATATCTGATAAAACCATATTCCCGATATCTCGAACAACTAAAAATATAAACGATGACTCATAAATATTCAGGGAACAAAAGACACGCAAAATCAGGGGAGGGAAACAGTGAAAAACGGAATTAAGAAAAATGAGCAGAACAGAAAACGAAGGGCTGTGGGAGGACAGAAAAAAATTGAATAGTGTTTAAGGGATCGTACGAGGTTGGCTGAGGACTGACATTGGCTGGTGGTTCCAGGGCGATGGCAGCCCTCTGGAGGAGACGGTTCAAGCTCAAGTTCCGGTTGGTTGCCTGGCGCGTCCTCCACGAGGAACGACCACACCGGGTCTGGAACTTACCAGAGTGGAGTTCACAATTCGAAAGGTCAGGACCTGACGTCGTTGCTCCAGCAGCATCATCATCACCAACACCTCCACGCCACCAGCCAAGCGTCGCAGCAACACGCAGCCTTAAATGCCCTCAACTCCCTGAACAGCCTAAATACTGAACAGCTGACAATCATGCATCAGAAGCTGCAGAACAATCTGCAGACGTTGCAGCAACAGCAGCAGCAGCAGCAACAGTCCGTCAGCATGAAAAACGATCTGAATCTGATGCTTCAGTCGTGCGCCAAGGATAAAATTCAAGAGAGCATGGCGCTGTTCCATCAGCAGCGCCGGTTTCACCAGCAACCGGATAACGCGAATCAATCGGGGAAACCGAAGTGTCCCGAGTGCGGTAAAATCTACTCGAACAATTCGAACTTGAAGCAGCATATCGTGAATGTGCATACGGTTCAGACCGAGTACGTCTCCTGTCACGTATGCAGCAAGCAGTTTAAAACGAAACAGTATCTTCAGATACATCTGCTGTCGATGCATGGTATACGGAAACGAAAGAGTTACCCGTTGTATCAGATGCAGACGCAGATGCAACAACAGTCGTCGGGACCGCCGGTCTCCGGCGGTGGTCAGCAAACGCAACAGTATTCGACGCCCGAGAGATGGTCCGAGGACAAGCAGTGATCGAAATGCGTGTCCTTGACAGATCGGAGAATTGACGAGACATGTGTATTCCCTTTGATCGACGTTTAAAAAGTGCTCGGAGAAAGTAAAGTTGATCAGAGTGGATGCTGGCAATCTGTATAGACATCGTAATTGAAAATAACAACTGTGACCTCGCACTAATAATCATAGTAGATGTATATAATTGTAAAATTCTATAGGGATGTAAGTAGAATGTTATTCCGGACCGGATGTTTAGTAGATATAGTCTTTTCTTTTTTCGTTTTTCGTTTCTCTTTCCACTTCTGCTAATATTCTAGTAGTTAGGATGAAACGACCGGAGGTGGCGATAGGTAAAAAGGAAGGCGTAAGAGGGTGCTGATACGAGGATTGGCCGACCTATTTTCGTATTGTACCGCAGTGCGCAGCCAATCCTTCGCGGTAGCGATAAGTGAACCGCCGCGATTGGCCGTCGGAAAGACTTGTTGAAATTCTTGCCGGAATCCTTATCGGCGTAAATAGCGATAGAGCAAGAAAGAAAGATGCGTCAGCCTAGTTTCTCGAAAAGGGAGTGTTATTCACTGAAGAACGTCGATAGGACCTCATTCAACTCCCTTTTGAATGTTCGCAATACTTCGAGTGAGGTTCAGGCGAATTTTTAAAGAAATCTAAACGGCTTCTGATGAAAACGAACTTATCAAGAATATCTCTTTTCTTTATTTTCCTTAAAAAAATTCTACTTTTCTCTATTACCCACGAAATAAATTCTTGCGCATTCAGAGTGTAATTATACATATCGATCGAAGTATGAGAAAATATGTTTTTACAAAATTGGGGCAAAGTATTTCCGATTGTGACCGAGTCGTGTCTGAATTCAGGGCACTTATCTTTTAGATTTCTTTAGGGTGTTTTTAAAATATTGACACGCGTGGCTAAATCCTCTGCGACCAGAAATGCAGCGCGTTCCATTCGCTCTCCGTCGACTTCTCGCCTTCGCGCGTCACATTTCGCTGCAATCGCATGAAAACGTGTGCTTGCGTTCCAGCATGCGCTCATTTGTGTGCACTTTCAGTCCAGCCACACGTGTAACTAGTTTCACACATACATACACACACATACCTCGAATGCCCGCGCACATTTAGGCCCACAGAATTACGAGGCAGAAAGAGATAGACTGGCTTGTATTGATCTCGAGGATTCAACAAACAGTACCTAGTGCCTCCCGCTACTTCCTCCCTAACTTCACCTTGCTCTTCCACCCTCGATCTCACCCCGCCTCTTGCTTCGTTTTCTACGTATTTCATACGATTCAACTCCGTTCCTCCTGGATCGTGTTTGATGAGCCTTCCTATGCGCAACTAGATCTTGAAGCCAACTTGTTAGCAGACATTCCTTTCTTTTCCCTTTATTTTTCACGCGTATTATATACGTGGTATGATAAATCTCAAATTCGTTCGTTCGCTCTTCTTACCATTGATAAATCTGGAATGTACTTTTAAATAGAAAGATTGCAGTCTCTATTTGCCAAATTTAAAGTTTTTTATCACGCAACATAGTTTTAATTTTTGGACAGTTCATACTTCATTCACAGAACGAATTGTCTGTCGTTAACGGTATCTACGTCAGAGTCGGATCAGAGTTTTTCGAAGGTGAAGAGAAGAAAGTTATATGAGACACGCGATGGCCAGCCCTAGTGAGCCTAGGCCACGCGATGTTAGCGCACGATCAGGCTATCACCCTCGTTGTGAACCCCTGGCAAAACAAACCCTGCCGGCTTATCCAATTCCACGGCATTTCCACGAATCTCTTCTATCTCCTGTCCGTGCTACCCAACCCCGACACTCGTAGTTCGGACGTAAATGGAGGTGGAGACTCGCATTTGTTCCAACCACCCTTCTGTTTCTCTCTCTCTCTCTCTCTCTCTCTCTTTTCCACTTTCTCTTCATTCGTACTAACCCTTCGCTTTTGTCCGCGCATTCTCCGTTTTTACCTTCGTTCCGCAATCCCTGTCATTCAACCAGATGCTTGGATCGCCGTGTTCTCATTTCTTGGCGTGAAAACTGCGTCATCTTTGAGAGCTGGCACCCAACGTGCTCTAAAAGCTCTCGCTGTTTTGGTTTCACCGAGTCAGAAGGAGGAAATAGTTCCACTTCCGGCTGTCGAGAAAGATGACGACCTGGTTTTGTATGTGACTTCTTTTCATCTTTTTTCTTTTGCCTCGGAGAATATTTTTTTCTTCACTTGAATTTTATATATATTTTTTTTTAGCTTTTAGCATTTCGTTTAGAATTTTGCTATTAATTCGAGTTGAATAATTGCGCAGTAAATATATTTTGATAATAGACATGCGGATGATTCGAAAGGAAGTTTCAAAAGTTCCCAAGAGATTGGTTAATGGATTTCAGGGTGGTCTAGAACCTAATAACATGTGTCAGCCATTATTTTAAACCCGAATCCTAAAATTGTGGATATTACGTTCTTCAGAAAACTTTCTTACCTTAATTAGTGCTTCGCCTTCTGTAAACTTTTGCTGGTGATTGTAACGCGCACAGACAAAATCGGACCTTTTCTGCAGATTAAAGTCATCTATCACCCGGATTCGATCCGGATAACCCAGCCAGATTTTTATCAGTCTGACGAATTCCCCTAATAGGGATAGCGTGTCTCTTCCACTAACATCCCTGATCGTTTACGCAATATACTTTGATGTATGAACGCTATATTCGATGAACTTTGATTTTGAAAAGGGATAGAACTACAAACGAGTGGAAGAGTTACGTAAGAAACCATATTGAAAAAATGAAACATGTGCACATATATCATGTGCGTCACGTAGAAAAGTTCGCGAGAACTAACTTCTTTTTTTTTCTTATACGGTCAAGTCACGTGTAGCTTTTCCCTTCTACGGTTTATCCCAAAGAGGTTTTTCTATTGGTCGGGAACTAAAGATTGGCACTAAAAGTTCTAAAAAATAAGTCGCGCGACTATTAACCGAAAGTATTATCGATCGCATACCTCCGGAAATAGGTAATCTACCTGGAAAAGTATATAGCTGAAGAAAAAGACAAAGAGGCGGAAGAACAGGAAATGAGATGGGATATAAGGATATTGTGGCCCACTTTGGCGTCGACGATCAGATACATAGAAGGCTTTGGGGTATTGCCGAAAGAATGATGGCCGTCCGTAGTGGACTGGGTAGATCGCTGAAAGAATAAGAATGGGTTCTCACACGATAAGAGAAGCGTACGCCGTCGGATTCAAATGTTGGATCCCCTCGTCCCTTACGTAGTTGCGTACTTTTTGTCTTTGCTGTTTTCTATCTTTTTCTGTTGACCATGGTCCACCTTATCCCGATTTCCCATCGGCCCTTCTTGTTTCCTGTCTCCTTAATGTTCTGGAATCTCCCCTTTTTCTCTTGCCTTTACCCTCGTGGTGTCTACGTGTTGGTGGCGCGGGCA